CAATAAATAATTGGTCAACTTTGAGGTTGAAAACCTTTGTATTTCACTTATTTTTTTCTTACACTCATATCATCGTTTCATAATGTTATAAAATTGACTTATTTTATAGACTGAATCGCTGTCAAAAAATTTAAAAAGAAAAAGGTTTTTTATTTCTTCCTCAAAACAAGGAGCTTCCTCGAGGAACTGGGTGTTGATGTTGGGGAGCTCGCGATATTGGTCGAGAATATTATTTTGGACTCCCTGGCGATCATCGACTATCATCTATATAGTAATTGAGGATGTCTTGTATTAATTATTCATTAAATTTAAAAATTTTCCATAATCGTCTTATCTTTTTATTTACATTGGAAGAATTACTGTGGTATATATGTGTGCGATGTTGTATTGAGTTCCTGGCGTTCGTAAATTAAAAAAAAAGTTTTTTGTTATCTTGGGAAAATGTTTGTTATGCAATGTCTATAGTTAAATATGGTTTATTGTTGATAATTTGTAGGAGTATTGTTATGAAAAGGGAGAAAGAAAAAAGAAAGGAAAGATATGTCATATATTTATATATATATATATATATATATATATATATATATATATATATATATATATATATATATATATAAAATAGAAAAAATGTAATATAATAGTAATGTCCATATGGATTGATAAGTATTATGTGTACGAAGCAACCCTATGTAGTAGGGCAGCATTAATTTTAATAAAGTATTTCTCTCTCCCGAACGAAACATTCCTTCGAAATTTACCGTCCACTAAATTCTGTTGCCTTGTTGTGTGGTACATAAATATTTAATAGTTTTGTCATCTACTCTATATTGTCGGATTATTGCTGAAGTCACTAAGTGCATTTTTGATATAGGTGTTTTTCCCCTAACACAGTGACCCTTTATAAGGGCCGTTTATTTGTTAAATTTTATATGTTCCATGCATTAGGCATAATACATGTATAAATTTAAAAAATTACATATATCTTATACATTTTTAAATTACTTGGTTAGGGTAAACTTCATATTTTACTAATTGAACAAAAGAGAAAAATAAAATAAAAAATAGTTGTACAGAAAGAGGAAAAAAAAGAAAAGAAAGAGATTAAAATTTTAAAAAATAAATAAAAGGAGAATTATAATAAAATCAGGCTTTAAAATAATAAATCAGGCTTCTTCGAGGAGTTAAAGATAAACATCAATATTAAATTTTCGTATCTCCTTATTATTTATCTCCTTTTAGATTTATAATTATTGTGATGAAATTTCTGAGGAGTTTGTCTGTCGCAGTAACATGTATCAGTATTCGTCAAATGAAAACATTTTAAGTAAGATTTGCAACAATTGAGATAGTATAGTAGTAATGAAGTAGTAGTAGTGGAATATCACAAAGGGAAGATTCAATGAATTATTCACTAATTTAATTTTCGAAAAAGTTTCATGACAATATTTCGGAATAAACTGACGTTGGTACCTAATTATTTAAAAATAATATCATATCTAGAATTATTAAACTACAGCAAATGTATTTAAGGTTATAAACATATGCTTTGTACATACATGAAATGATTTTATATTTTACTTCTTCTTTCACACAAGTAAAATGTAATAGTTTTTTAAACAATGTCATTGTGGATTTTAAATACTTTCAAACTTAAAAATATTTTAAGAGTTTACATTTAGTTAGTAAATTTCATTTAATTTTCTTAAAAACATGTGATTTACGTCAAATATAATTAGTTTCCAATAATAATTATTTATAATTTTTTTGCCACTTTCCGTTACCTACTAAAACTTTCTATATTAGATATTGTTTTTTTTTTCTAAAATTCTTCGCTTTCCAACGATATATTATACCTATGCCTTCTGACTAGTATTTCTGGAGATTTTTGTTTTGACCTGGGTAAGCATTTTTTTTCCTTTATTCAATTATCAAATTCTTTCAAAAGTTATATTTAGCATTTTTTCGTAACTCTGAATAATATGAGATGATTAATTATTTAAAATAAATCATATTAAAAGTACTTTAGGGGAAGACATATATGAACATTGGGCATTTAAGCCCTGTAAAGTGACATCAATGGAGAGAATACCTGATTGATATTAAAGACATTAGTGTATCATTATACAATGATACACTCAAATTTAATCAAGTTAATCAAATCGTTAAATCAAGTTTAATCAAAATCGTTAGAGCCGTTTTTGAGAAAACTGTATAAATGTGTTTCACTGTTGATATAAAGCGCCACTTCCAGTTAGCCGATTTTAAGGAAAAAGTTGCTGTCACATCTAAGGCTGATACCTATCTTAAATACGTAATATCAGTTTCGTACGCCTGTCCGTTATTGAGCAAGACTGCTAATATAAAACCACACAGACACAAAGACCATTTTTCGGGACTTAGTTATTTGGACTCAGAGTATCCCAAAATGTGTATTTCATTGAAAACTCAGATTCAAAAATTTTCAAGATCGCAATACTTACCCTTACTATATATTACATGTATACGTAAGTGAAAGTAATAAGAAACATAATTTTAATAATTATTAAAATCCATGATTTGCGTGATTTCCAATTTACTTCATATATAATTAAAATTTATAGATGCAATTGGATAAAGTTAAAATAAATAAATAAACTCGCAATCAGTAGAAGAATCTTCAATTAATCATAAAATCACATTTTACGAGTATCAATATCCAATTAGGGGTTATAAACTTGTTAAATAAATTACCACATAAATATTTATTCCAACACTCAACAATATTTACATATATTTATTTAATGAACACTTCTCATATTGTTTCTATTTATTAACCTCCCTCTCTCTCTCTGCTTTCACTCGTTTTCAATCCGATTATATCCTTTTTAATTCTATTCATTAATATCGAAATTATTCGCGTATATTCCACAAAAAGAAAAACTCTGCGTGAAGGTTTTTTGGGCATTTTGTAATTAATTTTTGTCGGATCGTTTTTTAGTTTAAACAAATTTCATGAATTAGATATTTAAATTATATTTGGCCTTAAATAATGAAAAGTTTCGATCTTATGTATTAAATTGGAAATGATGTTTCCGCATTTCTAAATAAAAACATATTAAGTTTATTATCATATTCATAAAATCGCATATTAATATTAATTTCTACAAAAGTTCATCAACTTATTTTTATGCCATAGATCCATCATATAAAAGAACTAATACAACTTCTGAGACCCCTGAGTACGAGAGAATGCTCATGGTTAACCCCAAGAATAATGGGGGCAGGTGATCGATGTTCAAGTTGCGGGCCCCCAGACTATAGCCTGTAAAAGTTTCCGACCCCAGGATTAATGCCGAAACTTGGGCAACGGTTACTAATTCCTTGGCAGGATTGTTATCGTTGAAAGGCTTTTCTTACAGGCTCCTCTCTTACTTAAGGCCTGAAAAAGACTTAGATATCAACTTTTTCTTGGATTAACAGATACCATCTTATTTGTAATATGTTATTTTTTAACTTTTCATGATTCATAAGAGTGGGTTGATTCCCTTATATTTGAAACATGAAAATATTAAACTGCTTAAAGTATCTACGTTTCATTTATTTTTTAGATCTTGAAAAATTTTAAATTCTAGTTTTCAACTGAAATACACATTTCGAGGTCCCCTGATTCCAAATAATCAAATCTTGCAGAATGGTCCGTGTGTATGCGAACACACACAACAGATTAGCTCAAAAACGAAAAGGTTTTACCAAACTGAAAGAACATATTTAAAGTGCGTACACTTTCTTTTTTCACTAAAATCAGCTATCCCCAAATTGCAGATTAACTCAATTCAAGAATCTTTAAACTTTCGTTTTGATAGCATGCTTTTTAGAAAGGAAAAATCTTGAAATGCCATCTCCATTATATTTTCCTCAGTCGTTTCTTCCTAACATCTCAACATGAAAAATTATTATTCATCCTAAATCTTTCTGTCTGATTTTTGCTTTTCTCAAAGTCCTAGTTATGTTCTTACAAAAACGTTTTCTTTGGTTTACACTGACATAATCGAATTCGCGTCACGTTGCCATTACAATAGCCCGGTGACATATTCATAAATTTGCAGATTATAGACAAAATTTATCAGAGTTTGAAATCGATAAATATTTCTCTACAAAATTATGTAATAATTATTATATTTGATTTTTAATTTGAAAATCATACCTGGTTTGTAGATAAAAATTTAAATCGATGTTTGATGTTTATCGATTTGATTCAAAACAATGTTCCGAGTTAAAACGGTAATAATGACTAATTGAGATTTTTAAAAAAATTGATCAAAAAGTAAAAATCACGAATTCAATTACATATTAATATATATGTATATGTTATTAATGTACACATTTTTCAATATTATATTTCTAAAATCACTTTAATTATGTTAGCGGTACTTGCACAATATACATGTATATATACATATATATGAATTTCGGAAATGAAGATTTTCTGTTGCTAATAGTTGACAACAATATTCTTCACTACTTCTCCAGACTCTGAATATATCATAGATATTACAAAAAATGTATAATTTTAATTTAAAAAGTGATACTTGATAATTATTATTGTTAATTATAAAAAATTTGTTTAAAAATAATGATCAGGATATGAATTTTACCATTTATAATCAAAAATAAAAATCGCTCTTAATAAAAATCATCAAATGATTTTTAAAATGCCAGATAAAATTTTTGATCAATTTGATTTTTTCGATTATAGATTTCAAACCCTAAAATTTATTATACAAGTACGAAAAATATTCAATTACTACAGTTTGTTTTATTATACATATATACGAGAGGGTTTTGACTAAGGGATCTAGTTAATTACTTGAATATAATATTTAATAAATGTTTCCCTTCTCTTTAAATCTTAAATAGTTTTCTCTAAGTTGTTATTATTAGTTTTTGTCAATTTGTATTGTAATATTTTTTTTTAAATAACATGTTTACCTATTTATATTACATTAACAATATGTTTACAGATGCTTGGACTGTGCATCCTTGCAGTCGGTGTTTGGGCCTGGTCTGAAAAATACACGTTCAGCAACCTCGGGAAGCTATCACACGTCGCCCTCGACCCCGCACTCGTTCTCATATGTGTTGGTAAGTAATTGAATGATGTAATTATTTAATGGTAATAATTTAATTATATCGTATTTTTTAAATTATTTTATAGTAAAGTCTTTTAAGACAATATTTTAATTTCTTTAAAATTCTATATTATGCATTGCACCTCATTGCCAATTTATATTATTATATAATTATAATTATTCTTATTGTCGATTTGTAACCATAACGTATATTCAACTTATCTAGCTTCATATAGGCCCAACAATAATTTAAGCATTTTATTTCTAATATTTTCATTGTTCGTTATGTTGTGTTTGATTATAATTATAGTTACATCACAAAATAATATAAATAATAATATACTGATAATATAATAATTAATGTATCGTAGTCAATGGGAAATGTCTAGATCGCAAAAAAACTGCTGTCACCTAGTTAAAATCAAACTACCACATCCAGATGAATAGATACCATTTCCCGCAATACTTTTTAGTTTAACATCTTTATTTTATATTAGGAGAGTATTAGGTAACAGGTGCTCAACACATATTTAATTAAGTGAACAGCTATTTAATTAGTGCCAATTATAGAACTAATAGGAGAGCTCTTAATACTAAAATAAAATAAAATATGATAAAATAAAAAAAAACATCAAAGAACTGATAAGAACTTCTAAAACTTATGAAATACGTAAAAGTAATGTTAACCCTCAGTTGTTATTTAATAGATTAATTAAATCATTATATAATTGTAATATTATTATTGATTTTTTTTATTTAAATTTATTTTAATGTGAATTCCTATAACTTTATAATTATTCAACATAATCTACAAGTGAAAAATTCCTAATTATATTTAAATAATAAATAATTATTTTAATATTTTATTCATTTCTAAATGAAATCAGTTCTCCTGCTGATAAAAAAATTCCTAATTATATTTAAATAATAAATAATTATTTTAATATTTTATTCTTTTCTAAATGAAATCAGTTCTCCTGCTGATAAAAATTAACACGCATTTTTGCCTCATGATTTAAGATATAATTGAATTTTCTTTCAATTTATAACTTTCTTACAGAAATATTTCTAGAGTGTGTATTATTTGTGAATGTTCTACAGGTCTGGGCAAGTTTCTAAATTCTATTCAAGTTTCGCTTAGCTTTTATCGAACCTTTGCTCGATTTTATATGAATTCAGCGCGTTTCTTTATTCATCGATTGAATCACCGATGGCTCATCGGCTCCTGTTTCATTGGCTAGTAGGGTCGATGGGTCCGGTTGATCCAATCTCATTATTTTATATATATCTCCTCAGCGTTGTTATATTTCAATTACTTTACATATTTATTTTCAGATTGCTTTCAACTTCATTTATTGCTGTTTAAATCAATTTAATCAGTAGGTAGATATTTTTTATTGGTCATGTGATTTGTCATGATAGGCAGGAGTGTCTAACCTACGCTTTAATCCTGCAAGTCGTTTCAAGCTTAAATCGCTGTCCATTGCTGCTGGATTCAATCGACAGTTAAAAGATTCATTTTAATTTTTGTGTGCCGATAATCTTTTTTTTTCATCAATATCGGTTTAACTCAAGAATTCTTCACTTTTTTACACCTGATTCAAATTTAAAATATATAAATAATATTTAGGAATATTAATATTTTCCTGATACCTAAATACGAGGGTTGCAAGCATGTATGACACACTGTTTCAGTATGGCATTGATATTATGCATTTGTATTGTATATATGAGATCTATATTGAATTATAAGTTAATCCTCGCTGCTAATAACGGTGGATTGAGCTATCCAGATGCGGCTATTCGAGATACTGATTGAAAGGTTACATGATTACACTAGCGGATCCAGGATTTAATTTTGGGGGGCCTTCAGCCCGAAAGATTTTTTTTTCATATACAAATAACGATAATTAATTAGAAAAAAAAAGAAATAAATTAACTACCTATATGAAATGATGTTTAAGTGCTTCTTGAAGTCCTATTAAATGTAATTACACGAACAAGAATACTGTAAGAGATAGTTTTTAATATTTTTTTCTGTAAAACATGGTTATATTTTACCATTTTTGGGGAGGGGAGGGGATTCAGCCCGAAAGCCTCCCCTGTTGATCCGCCAGTGCATGATTACATACCTCAATCACCCTCTCTCTCAGAGGAAGTAAGTGCTCAAAAATGAATAGGGATATTTCTATTTCATACTTATTTTATTCGTTTTAATTTAAATACCCTATTTTTGTTTGTTTGTTAGGGATTATCTTATTTGTTGGTAAAAATGTAAACAACAAGTATTCTTTATTTTTAATAAATTATTAACTAAATGTAGTAAACATGAAGAATCCTCATTTTGTAAAACGACAGTTGTTTTAGACTTTTCTCAATTTTAAGCCAGTAATATTCTGTCAAACAAAGGAAAGACATCGTATTGAATCAGAAATTCTCAATATTATCTTGAGAATGAGCAGTTAGGATCACCAGCAAGTGAAAATCGGCGATACAGTTGGAGTCTTCCAGATTGTGGTCTCCCGAGCTTTTAGCCATTCTCAGAAAAACCAGAAGTACCACCAACGGATGGCATAAATATTGGTATTATTGCAAGAAGCAACCCTTTTCACAGCGCCCGACAGAGCTTAAATGGAGTGTTGAGTGTTCTGCCGAGGGCCATACCAATAAATCATACGTAATTGTTTGAGGAGAGCTCGTCTAATATCACAAGAGGAGTATTACCATGTTTATGGTATGAAATAGGTACAGAGAGGTAGTGGATATTACACGAATTAATACATTTTACAAAATGTTTATAATTCGCACTCATAAGAACAAGATCACATAAACTTTTTTTTTTAACATCTATTATAATATTTTTTTAGGTCAAATACAATTTTATTTTTATCAATATATTATTTTATGATAAAAATAATATAAAAATTCTAGGAAAAATACATAACTAACTATTCATTTTTGAGCAGTATATGGTGTATTTTTCCGTATTCATCTATTGTTATTATTTATATCAAACCAGAATTTATACATTATGATGATAATTATAAGTTGTGAACTAAATTTATATTAAAAAATATTTAATAATATTGTTTGTATTGAAAATATATCCAAACAACAGAGTTGGCACAGAATAACATCAATGAAGCACAAAATATATTCCAATTCCAGGATGAGAGGTGAAAAGAAAAAAGAAACAGGAAAATGTTTTGCAAATAAAAAAAAGATACAAAAAAAAACAAAGAAGCAAAATGTGCTATTTTTACAGCATAGAGGAAAATATATATATTATGTCTTTAGTGGAAGTGGAGACTAGTTCAGCCAACTGAAAAGTTATACATATGTATGTATAAATATTTTCTGAAATCAAAGAGAATCAACACACACTTTAAAAACGAACAACAAAAAAATGTTCCTACTAAAACATGGTCATTATTTAACAAAATAATATTCTCCCATCAGATAAATAAAATGTATATATTTATTTAAAAACATATCTAATCGCTTTGGTAACCTAAATCATATTAAACATGAAAATATTTCAGCATATAAACCTTGTAATAGTCCCTCCTTGTCGATCCGGTTTCTAGCAATTGCGCCACATAAAACCGGTATGTATCTTGAAAGAATATTTTTTATTACTAACATCAAGTGTTTATTATTCAATACAAAAGATCAACATTTTACTACTACTAATGTTGCTAAATTGAACATAATTAATTTTATATTTGTCTTTTATTACTTTATACATTCATTCTCTGCGAAATTGGCTCTATAACTTTTTTATATTATATTATCATATCATTTCATTGCTTTGGCATGAAGTAATTTCTAAACTTGTTTTTGAGCCATTCCGTTTTCCAAACCGAATCTGAAATGAACTTTAGATTAAGGTGACCAGGCGTCCCGCTTTTGACGGGACGGTCCCGATTTCCAACAATTTGTCCCGCGTCCCTCGGCGTTTTAAGAAAGTCTCGATTTTTGGAAAGAATGCCACGACAAGCTATGTTATAGCAGGACAACGGTTTTCAGCGGCCACGTGGCTATTTCGCCAATATATGAGTTTTATATAATTTTATGATAATAAGCATTAATAATACTTAATAATTGTCGAAAACTGCTTTGCATAGTTCGCATTGTTGATGTGTTATTAGAAATCAGCCACCATGGTTTGGATTTAATAAAAAAACTGGAAAACGATTATATTGATAAGGAAAAGATATCTATAAGGAAAAGATTAAATCTTTGACATCAGCAAATTAACTTCATTTGCTACTCTGATTACCGACATTTTGTCACCTTCAATAAGTTTCATAGAATTTTGAAGAAAAAAAAAATTGCTTGATCATGTACAAACTGCTGGCACAAAATATTTGTCTATTATTGATGTCTTAAATTAGCATTAAACATTAATACATTAAATTCTTCACTTTATTTCAGCTAATCAACGTTTGCACCAGATTATCATTATGCAAAATTCAATACTGTAAAACAAATTTGACTATCCTCTATCCAACCTCCTCTCCCTTCCCCCCCACTCCCCGTTCAATGTTGTCCTGCTGTACTAATGTTAAAATCTCGTCACCTTACTTTAGATCTATATAAATTTTACGAATTTATCAGTTTTTTTTTTTTTTTTGCATTAAAATCATATCAACATTTTATTTTATTTTAAAGGTTATGTAGTATTTATTTCGTTGAGTTTAATGAAGTAATATTTAACTTTCTTAATAATTAAAATAATTAATCTAAAATTAGAAATTGTGTTAGTTAATTTTCTAGTATTTATACTGTTAGAAATCTTAATTTGTTATAATTAAATAGTTTTATCAATCATAGTTCGATTTTTTTCAGTAAAAACTCGATGCCTTTGGTATGCGATTTTAAAGTTGAAATATAATAAATTTATATTTATTTTCTAATGTTGAGTTTTGTCTTGATTTATTTCTTGATTCGTCATTAATAATAGATAACAAATAATTTTTTTTCGGTTTTGCAGATCCCTTTTCCGACTTA